TTTGGAAACACCAGCATTGAGTGGTGAGGAGAACACACAGGTTGAAGATCTTCAGTTTGCTGAAGATATTGTTTTGGAAACACCAGCATTGAGTGGGGAGGAGAACACACAGGTTGAAGATCTTCAGTTTGCTGAAGATATTGTTTTGGAAACACCAGCATTGAGTGGGGAGGAGAACACACAGGTTGAAGATCTTCAGTTTGCTGAAGATATTGTTTTGGAAACACCAGCATTGAGTGGGGAGGAGAACACACAGGTTGAAGATCTTCAGTTTGCTGAAGATATTGTTTTTGGAAACACCAGCATTGAGTGGGGAGGAGAACACACAGGTTGAAGATCTTCAGTTTGCTGAAGATATTGTTTTAGAAACACCAGCATTGAGTGGGGAGGAGAACACACAGGTTGAAGATCTTCAGTTTGCTGAAGATATTGTTTTAGAAACACCAGCATTGAGTGGGCAGGAGAACACACAGGTTGAAGATCTTCAGTTTGCTGAAGATTTTGTTTAGGAAACACCAGCATTGAGTGGGCAGGAGAACACACAGGTTGAAGATCTTCAGTTTGCTGAAGATATTGTTTAGGAAACACCAGCATTGAGTGGGCAGGAAAACACACAGGTTGAAGATCTTCAGTTTGCTGAAGATATTGTTTTGCTAAGTAAAAACAGCTATAGCATGCAGTAAAACGGATGATTTAACAAATACAGCATAAAGAGATTACTACAAATAAGTTATAAAAGGTCAAATATATTGGGGACACCAACAACAACAGATCAAGCTGGTGGAGTACTAGAGACAAAAGTAATGAAAGTAACAGATAAATGTATTTATTTACGTAGTAATTTTGATAGTGAAGGAAGTACACAGAAATAAATTATGATACTATTAGCAAGGCATAAGGAGCTTTTAAAAGCTTGAACAAAATATGGAATTCTGAATTGTATAGTTTTAAAACCAGGTTATGTATTTTCAGGTTTAACGTTATTTCAATCTTAACATTTACAAGTGAAGGCTATAATATGAAGATCATACGAGCGGAAACATATAAGAACTTCGGTGAAAACTTCAACTGCTCCAACATACTGAGAGAAGAAATACAATCTAGAATACAGTCTGGAAATAAAGTATACTATGTCCTTCAATATCTGCTAAAGTCAAGGTCTCTGTCTCGTAACACCAAGATCAAAAAAAAAACAAAAAAAAAAATAACGTATATAAAAATATATAAATATATATTTTATATATATATATATATATATATATATATATATATATATATATATATATATATATATGTAAAAAATTAGTAATTGTTTAGACCAGTCGCTTTATATAGCTCTGAAACTTGGAGCACAACTAAAAGAGATGAAGCCTTACTACAGGTTTTCGAAAACAGAGTCTTACGACGAATCTTTAGACCTATCAAAGATACAAACAGCGGTGAACGGAGAGCGAGAAACAATAACAAAATTCAAAATCTGTTTAAATCACCACTGATCGCTAGCATCATGAAAGCTAATAGACTTAAGTGGCTGGGGCATATCGAAAGAATGTCAGTTGACAGAGATGTAAAAATTGCATACAAAAAGGAGATGAATGGTCGTAGACCACGAGGCAGACCAAGAAGACTATGGAATGATAATATCCAAACAGACCTGCAAACACTTAGTGTTACCAACTGGAAAGAAAGGGCCAAGAGAGATGAATTGAGGCGGGTGATATCTTCATCAATAAACCTGAAGGGCTCACAATGCTGAAGAAGAAGAAGAACGCTGAACCATTAAAGACATAAAACGAAAGTTAAATGCATTCAAAAACAAATTTATGAGGGATATGATGAATGGAATTCAAACAGAGTGAATAAATAAGTGAAATATCTGGACAACCACTAGAATCCATAGTTATAAGACAGAGAGGATGGCGCTAGATTGGACACGTTCCGAGAAGAAACTAGCAGAGAATCACCAGCAGGTATTAAAACGGGAAACAAATGGATTAGGTAGGCGAGGACGGACAAAAGAAACCCTCAGACGAACTTTGTTGAGTTAGGCTAAACCTGCTGGACCGGATTCCATCCGTGGTCTTGAACTGATTGCATAGGATAAAATAAAATTGAGGAATAGATTGCCAGCACTATGCGACATATAATGGAACACCAGGATAATGATGCTGATATGCCTGATGCGCCACTTGCTTTAAACTGTCCTGTACATTTTTACAGTTCATTGTGATCATGAGTCGGCTCTGTGGCTAAGTCGATGCGAACGCTTCGTAATGCCGGGAGGCCGGGTTCGATCCTAGCTGCGGGCCATGCGCCTTGCGTTGGTTTCGACAGTGGTTTCAAGAAAGCTGACCGTCCAGAAGCAATGGCAAACTGCTGGACGTAAATTTGCCTAAAAAACCACACAACAGCCAGGGGCTGTTGGGGTTGGTTCTGCAACGTCCTGTAAAGGATACGCAGCTAACCTGTGATCATGAACTCACGTTTTACGACAATGGCCACTGCATTTTCATACTGCTACAACTGGGCCTTAGTTCAATACTCGCACTAAATTATGACTGTGAATACATGTCTGGTTGCCTTCTTGTCTCCCATCCTTTATTTATCCAAGGAAAATTATAAGAAATAGTTGTCATTCATTTACGGTCACCTTTATATCTGCGTCTCTATGTGTCTTGTTCTGTTAATGAGCCGTTTTGTTGATCATTCTTAAACACGTTTGTCAGCAAGCACAGGCGCTGTAGATCTAAGAAATGAGCTATGTCTAAGTCAACGAGTTGCTGGTTCTATATAAAAGAAGACACTTAAGGTAGTTTCCAAACAGTCATCAGCCTTTTGTGTTGGTAGCCTTGCTGAAACTTGCCTCCGGCTGTTCGAGTCCCAAAGTCACACCGTTGTTACAGAGATTTGGAATCATGAAGGCAGCGTTGCTGATTTTTGCCGTTTGTTTATGTAAGTACATGGGTTTCAGTTATCTTCTGAGTCATTCTTTTCAGATCGAAGTGTTCATTTGTGTCAGTTTTCTTTTTTTTTACTTTCTAGATGAAGATTTTTGTTCCTCTTGCTATTCTTCTTCTTCTTCTTCTTCTTCTTCTTCTTCTTCTTCTTCTTCTTCTTCTTCTTCTTCTTCTTCTTCTTCTTCTTCTTCTTCTTCTTCTTCTTCTTCTTCTTCTTCTTCTTCTGCTTATTCTTCTTCTTCTTCTTCTTCTTCTTCTTCTTCTTCTTCTTCTTCTTCTTCTTCTTCTTCTTCTTCTTCTTCTTCTTCTTCTTCTTCTACTACTACTACTATTATTTTCTTTTTCTTCTTCTTCTACAGAAGTGCAGCTGGCATTGTGTTGTAGTTTACAGGTAGACTGCGATAACTGCGTTTTCCTGTAAAACATATTCGATGTCAGCAAACACTTATAAAAATAATCTGTGTGTCTCGGTAATAGCAGCTGCTGGAAGACTTCCAGGTCATAAACCAATGGTTAGCAAAAGTAAAATTGGCAAAAGGATGAAAAAGATAAAGGTAAAATTGGGAGATATGAACCAGCGTCATTGCACACGGTTATAAACCATGGGTGCTCTGCCACCAGTACGGACAGCTTATAAGAAATTGTCCGCCTATGTCGCCGTCCGAAGCTACAGCGACATTCCTCCATTTACCCCAAAGTGTTAACTCTGGTACCCATTTCCTAGAGGCTGGGTGAACCCCGGGAACGCCTGCTTTTGAACATCGGCCGTGGGTGCAGCGAGTTGATAATAAACAGCGTTTTGTCTTGGAAGCTGAAATATTTTGGTCAGATCAAGCGCCATGGAGGATTGAAAAAAAAAAAACTAATAGCCGAAGGCATGGCACCAGAAAGGAGGTGCCGGGTCGACCAACAAAAAGATGGGCACAGGATATGACTCCTTGAATTTAAAAGAACACGAGTCGGAAAAGCTAGCTAGAGACCGAGTTTCTTTCAAGCAGACAGCGAAGAGAGTGGCTTTCTCCAAAGAACCTGCTACATGATGATGATGTATAGTTAAACAGTAGCCCTTTGAATAGCATGTGTGGCTTACTAAACTGTTCTCCTGTATTCCAATCCAATGTTGTTCAGCCTGTGGACCGAGAAAATGTCCAGGCGGGCCGCATACAGTTCTGCTTAATACATACAGGGTTTTTCTGCTTCACTCTGTAGGATTAACACATCAAGTACTTCATACCGGGTGAAAAGACTTTCTCAGGCATAGCAATAATTACTACCAAAAACAGAGATATCTAATTGATGTTAATGTAGCACTTCGTCTATCAGAAACAACGCTCCCACTATATAAATCCGATTTTCTAAAACCTCTAAGCCGCAGCAGATGTCGTGTTCGCTGAAAACTGTAATTTTGCGACAACGGATAAATTAAAAACTGCTCTCTACATTTATTTATTTTTTTGTTTGTTTCGTGTTTGGCTAGAGGTAGGAGGTCGGCGAACAAAACAATTAACCCTATTTTGGTGTATCGCCGGGGTAATACTGTGGAGGAACACTGTTCTAACCCACATCTAGATGGGGAGTGTTTTCCATTCCACATTTTTAAAGTTCAATATCAGTTGCATTAAAGTATAATCACTTAATCTTTCTTTTAATTTGTCGTGAGAGACAGGGCGATTGTTGCCAGTTATGTTGCGGTGTGTACGGCAGGAGGTTGAAGTAGTATCTTGAGTCGGTACTTTAGTAATCCAGTATATTTTTACTTCGAAATTTAGAAAAAAAAATTGTTTTCCCAATGTTTGAGTTTCTGTATCTATAATATTGTCATGTGATTAAACACGTACAATTAAATATGTGCAATCAAACATGTGCAATTAAACCTGTGCAATTAAACGTGTGCAATTAAACGTGTGCAATTAAACACGTGCAATTAAACGTGTGCGATTAAGCACGTACAATTAAACATGTGCAATAAAACATGTGCAATTAAACCTCACACTATATTTCTTTTAGGTCTTCTGGTAGCTGAAGTCATAGGACACGGAGGTCATGGTGGTGGCCACGGTGGAAGTCACGCCTCTCGACATGGTGGAGGACACGGTGGGGGTCACCGTGGAGGTAATGGCGGAGGGCACGGCGGAGGTCATGGCGGAGGACACGGTGGTGGTGGTCACGGCGGCAGACATGGAGGCGGTCGCGGTGGTGGTCACGGCTCTCGTCGCCATGGTAGTGGTGGGCATGGCGGAAGGCACGGAGGCGGTCACGGCGGGGGAAGACACGGAGGCGGTTACGGCGGGGGAAGACACGGTGGCGGTCACGGCGGGGGAAGACATGGGGGTGGTGGTCGTCATGGTGGACACGGCGGAGGCAGCGGTCACGGCGGAGGTCATGGCCACGGTGGAGGTCACGGTCATGGACATCACGGGTAACTTTCGTGATGTTGCTAGGCTCGGCACCCTTCAAAACTACTCACGGCTACACGAACAACACTTCAAATATCTGCATTCTTAGACATCTCAGAGGCGATCTGATCCGAGAGTGTCGAATGGTCGATGTTTGTGGTAACATTTATGGTATATGGAAATAAAAACTTATCATGCTTAATTTTGTTTGCCTTTTTCTATAAATGTATCATCATCTACGCGCATGGTACAGCAAGTCACTTGACAACTGTAGGGTGCCTAATATAGAAACTTTACGGTTGAGCCGTTGGGGGTCTACTCTTTTAATTCACCCTATCTCAGGGACTCCGAGATTTGCGGAGAGTATCCGGGAAATTCCAATAGTATGAGGGTTTTGGGTATAAAATAAACACCGAAAAACACTAACCTTCTCGCCCACCCCCCTCCCCTTTTTTTCACTCTCCCCCAATAATATTAGACTTTCCTTGGGACTCCCTACGACATCTTGGTGTCCCTGAGATGGGGTGAACTAAAAAAGAACCCAAAGTGACTTCTCAGACTCTCGTGGCCTGAACTGGAAAGGTCTTAAAACTCGTTCACGGCTCGGGTGTGAAAAAGAACATCACGTCTCATAATATTTGGGTCCCTGTTTTTCTTGATATTTGGTTTGGATTTTGCAAGCTCATTTTCACTAACTACTTCAGGGTAGACGTGTCTTGCTATATTTTATATGCAGGTTCTTCATTATGTTCCACACAGGCTGTCCTTCCCCTCCCCCCCCCCCCCCTAAATCCTACAGGGAGACTTCGTATGAAGTTTGGTGAACATTTTCCCAAGTTCGGCTTGTCTTCTTTAGTGTTAGATTCCAATTCTTTGTCTGTTCTCTTCTTTCTCCACTGACGTTACATACGTTTTCAAGGTGTATTATAAATGTTATTTGAAAACAAATACTAGAAGGGGCAAAGTTGTGAACATAAAATAGGATGAATACAAGAAAGCTGGGGTTGGGGGGGGGGGGGGGGGGAGCAGCAATGACAGACATGACTGGGCAAGCACTGGTTATAAGATAAGAAAATTGCGCTCTCGTGGAGTGAAAGGAGCAGATAATCACCAAGGTTAGTTGTGTATGCTTTACAGGACGTTGCAGAACTAACCCCAGCAGCCCCTAGCTGTAGTGTGGTGTTTAATAGTTTGCCATTGCTTTCTGGACGGTCAGCCCCCTGATACCACTGTCGAAACCAACGCAAGGCGCATGGCCCGCAGCTGGGATCGAACCCGGCACCCCGGCATTACGAAGCGTTGGCATCGATTTAGCCAAAAAGCCAACAGTTAATCACCAAACAGGCAATGAAATTTGAAATGACGAGACTGAAACCCTACAATGAAAGCTGATGAGCGAGTCGATGTGCTTGAATGGATTCCATCCATGATATCGAAGGGATCACACACAAAAGAACGAAATGGTTGGTAGGCAGGTAGTTTTAACCCACCAGGACATCACACAAGCGATAAACACCTGATGACACAACGTGCCACCATGCGGATGAGGATCACCCGTGGACAGGTCCCATAAACCCCTTTCAGCTGGTAAGGTGATAGGCCATATTTATGGCTCGGCTATATTCAAGGCCCCCGGCAGAAGCTAGGGTGGGGCTTCAAATAACAAAAAATTGCATCCCACATGGGGACGACTATTGCAGGTATGTATGTAAGTTGTACCCCCTACCAGGACATCACGCAAGCAATAACCACTCAGTGACACAAAGTCCCACCATGCGGATGAGGATCATCCGTGGAGAGGTCTCGGAAACCCCGTTCAGCCGTTGGCCATATTTCAGGCCCGGCGATATCTAGGGCACCCGGCAAAAGCCAGGGTCGGGCTTCAAAAAAGCTAAAATTCCATCCCACAAAGGGATGAGAGGGACGACTTGGATGACTTGATTGTACAACAAACCCTGTGTGACATATGATGGCACAACACGACAACCATAATGGTTAGAATCTTGCAATAGCTCATTATGTATGTACAATTTTAAGTTTCAGTATGTTTTTATTAAACAGCCTTAAAAGTCTATGGTTAAGCACCAGCAAGGAGATAGAAATTAGAATTTTGAAAGCATACATCTTCCCTGTGGCTACATACGGATGTGAGTCGTGGACTATCTCTCAGTCCTTAAGAATGAGAATAGGGGCTTTTGAGCTGAAATGCTATAGAAAGATTATTAGAATATCTTGGACAAAGAAGTTGAGAAATATTGACATCTTAAAAGATCTTAACATCAAGGAAGATTGGCTAATAAACGGCATCCTTTCTCGAAAGTTGAAATATTTTGGTCATATCAAGCGCCACGACGGATTGGAAAAAATAATATCAGAAGGCATGGTACCAGGAATGAGGAGCAGGGGCCGACCGACACGAAGATGGGCACAGTATATAAGTGACTACTTGAGTGTGAAAGTGTATGAGGCGGGAGAACTGGCGAGAGACGGAGTTTCATTAAGGCAGACTGTGATGAGAGCGACGTTCTGCAAATGACCTGCTACATGATGATGATGATGTTTTACTTTTGTCTCTCTATGTGAACCCCGTAATACCAAGATATATGTATTTTGTTTGTGCTGTTAACCTCTTGGGAGTCGCCGTGGCCGAGCGGCTAGACGCCCGCCACGGATTGAAAGGTTATGGGTTCGCTCCCTGGCGGAGCTGGACTAATTTCAAAAATGTCCTTGGCTCCCAGGTCGACCCAGCCTTGAGTGGGTACCAGCTGCAGTACCGGAAAGTAAAGGCGGCCGGCGGGATGCTGACCCATCACCCATGCCGATTGATCTGTAAAAATATAGGTCTAGCCCTATATGCCCTATACGCCTAAAGGCGTGGAAAAGAAACATTTACTTTTTTACTTGTTAACCTCTCCGTTTTTTGGAAAAGACAACTTTGCATTTTTTCATTTGTACACCCACATATTATATTTATTATGTCCCTTTGAACAGCTCCTGAGTTTGAAATTATTGCAGGAATTCTCAACACTGAAGCCTTCAAACCTTCTCATGTTGACGATGCACTTTTTAAACAAATATAATTTCCCTATAGCTCTTCACACTGCAGCCGACATACTAATGTGTCGTGACACATAGTTTCACACACACACACACACACACACACACACACACACACACACACACACATATATATATATATATATATATATATATATATATATATATATATATATATATATATATATATATATATATATATATAAAGTACATAAACTTTGGGCAGGTAAAGTTGCAGATTTCACTTACTGAAATTTGTTACGTAGATCTTATATTTTTCGTAAAATTTATGAATGAAAATTGTTTGTCTATTTTGTAAAGCTTTCAGTAATATCAGTACGTAAATCAAGACTTTAATCTCATAAACATTATGTCCTCAATTTATTACAGTTGCAATCTTAGTAAAATTTATGTTGTTGGTGTTCCAATTCCAGTTGTCCAACAAAAATTCCTCATTTGATCCTTTTTCAGCTGCTCGGAGGCCTGCTATATAAAGGAAGGTTCCTTGGCTATCTTATTTGGTTCCCTTTTATTTGTGATGTGTAGTCACACCTGTGATGCCGGTTCTTTGCTTCCTAAGTCGTTGGTGTTTCCCCTTAAATCCCTTACCACGCCTACGGGCTCTAGACAGCAGGCCACTTCGGTTGTAGACTTTTGATGCGCCATTGATAGACGCCACAACCTGGCAGCTCAAATCCCTTGAGTTACCCCCCCCCCCTACCCCCTCTCCCCATTCAGCCCATTTTAGCTCAGCAACCTCGTTTAACTATGTATAATAATATTCTTTAAAAAATATGCTGGCCTTTATACATTTCATATTATTTCGAGTTTGTTTTTATATCAAGTTGCCAGTTAGCACATTAATAAAAAACAACAATAAGGATGTACATAATAGCCAAACCTGCCATTTCAGCCTGTATTTAGCACTTGTATGGTGTTGACAGAGCGGTCTTCTTCTTCTTCTTCTCTTCCACCTTGCACCTCATCGAAGTGTCGGGGAGAGATATAATGTACGTTGATGGGCTCTGTCAAGAGCACTATTAAAACTGATGTTCATTTATGTAAGGTTGTTCTTAATGCCATCACTCCGTTTTTACCGAGGTCTTCCACTCGCTCTATACACGTTGTAACGATTTAGTGTGGCTAGCTGCGGCAGATAGTACCAGGGCATTCTTGTTAGGTGTCCAAACCACTTCATTTGTTGTCCTTTGATGAACTGTAAGACTGGCTTTATTCCTAGCATTTCGTCTGATTTCATGATCTCGTATACTCATGATCTTTGCGTCTTAGAATTTGAGACCGCATGGTAAGTGCTGTCGCCACTGATGGTGCATGTTAGGATTTTATTTTGACAAAGTCCAACATGTGTCCGGTAAACCAATCGTAAGCTTGTCGCTCGGTCGTCCAGGTATGCTGACTGTTCTAATAAGGCTACCGCGGCGGCTTCTTATCTCACAGTACCTTCTGCGAAACCACCAAGTCGTCTTGTCCCTATCCGAAAGGAAAACACCATCCGATAATTTCGTGCAGCAGGGTACCAGCCCTGAGCTTCATGAACTCAGGTGGGCCCACCTCTGAAAACGTCTAGGAGATCGTGGGCCGAAACGTTTCTCGACGAGGATAACTTCTACTGATGACTGGTAGATCCCTGCTGTACTTGCTCCCTGTGAGTTTATTCCTATTGACCACCGACAGAAAAAAGCTTCCAAACATCACAAAGGGTTCAAATCTGGGTCTCCCTCATGACTGCCCGGCGTTCCTAACCGCTCCGTCAACCACTCTTCCCTGAATGGCAAATAAATATAATAATATAAATATACAAATTATGTAAAAGATAATAACTGTATCCTCCCTATGGGTTCCGGGACCCTATTATAGGGAAAACAAGAATAGACCCACTGCCTACCCAAAAGCATGTCGTAAGAGTCGATTAATTGGGAGCTTCCTTTGAAGTCCGAGTGCATCTGCCTGAGAGGCAAGGAACCAACAGTCTACACTATTTATTTATTTTTAAGGTGAGAGGGATGAATTGAAGGGTGGGGAGAGGGGGGG